GTGAGGACATGAGGACACGAGGTTGTCAGTGAGGACATGAGGACACGAGGTTGTCAGTGAGGACACGAGGTTGTCAGTGAGTACAAGGACATGAGGATGGGGCTCTGGCCCTGTGTGGGGCTCACCTTTCGACACCTCATATGGGGGGTTCAGCACAGCCTCCACAGTCTCCTCCAGCTCACAGAAGGGGTTCTCCTCGAAGATCAGGGTGTACAGGGTGACTCCCAGTGACCACATCTCCAGCTCCGGGCCTTGGTACCTGTGTGGAGGAGAAGGCATTGCAGCACTCAGACCCAGCACAGCAGCCATGCTCTGCGAGTCATCAGCGGACAGTGGACAGTGGGACCGTGTCCTTCAGCCCACTACGTGTTGACATCCTGCAGCCATGCTGTGTGCTGTGGAGAGCGAGGAGGGTACAGCCTGCGCCTTGGCTCCAGCACATCTGCGTCTCAGAGGACACGTCGTAAGCAGCCTAGGGTGTCCGCTTACAGCCCAGGCCCCTGGTGGCCTCTCACTCCCACACTGCCCGAGCGCATCAAGGAAGTGGCTGTGGCGAGGACAAACACTCTGAGTCAGTCTGTCTGGGTTCAAATCTCTGCTCCATCCAGGCCTCCCTGACCTGTCCCCCATCCATCGCATGAAAGTAACAATGGCCTCCCATCCTACAGCATGCCATGACCGTCAGCCCAGCTGACAACAAACATGCTCATGGAGACACATCGTAATTACTCCTTTCCACTCTGCACCACTCAGGGAAACATCCGTCCATCTCACACTAGTAAAGACACACTCGGTTTGCGTGTAGGTAGAGTCAGAGTCCATGCAAGCACAGCAGGAAACCGTGGAATCAGGCAGTTTCCACTGAAGTCTCAAAAATGCTGGAGGCCTGCCCAGGCTGGCCCCAGTCCCCGAGTGTGGCTGACTCAAGGGGGCATTCTTGGCCAGTCAGCAGCACCACCTCTGGGCAAGGATCCCATAGTAAACACAAATCCTGTGTCAATATTGTTTCCATTGCTCTACTTCTTGTATGGTCAGCACAACACTGTTTTATTGGAATAGATTATTATTCGTGTCATCAAAACAACTAACCTGACTAAAGAATTCTCTTCTCTTATTGGAAGACTGCCATCTTAAAAGCAAGTAACCCAAATTTTATCTTTTTTGCCACTTTGTATTATATGAAACTCCAAACATAAAAAACAGATGAGAAAATAATATAATCAACTCCTGTATCCATTGCCTGGCTTCCTTGAACCAATCTTACTTGGCCTGCCTGTCCACTTATTCTCCAAAACCTTACCTTTTTTCACTAACACACTTATCACAAAAAGGAACAAACTGAATCCCTTTCTCCCCTACACACAAATTAATCATGGCATCCCATTGGAAGGACGGTCTGCACCGCAGCACAATACGTACGGGTTTCCCATGAGAACTTCAGGTGCACAGTACTCAATTGTTCCACAAAAGGTGTAAAATAATTTTCCCCTTTCCAAGTAGGCAGCTGAGCCAAAGTCTATCAGCTTAATTGTGAAGTCCTCAGCTATCACAATGTTCTCGTCCTTGATGTCCCGGTGAATGATGTCCTTCGAGCGTAGGTATCCAACTGCTGACACCAGCTGAAATCAGGAGGCCAGAGACAGCTTCTTAGAAAAACAACTCAAATAAAATGTGTTTAAAAATAAACATCAACGAGGAAAAAAAAAAAAAACAGCAACAAAGAAAAGCTAAACACTATCTAACTGATACTGAACTGATGACAGGAAAGAACTCTGGACACTGAAGACATAACCCAAACCACAGGGTAGGCAGAGCAACTCCAGGTGGGCATGCTCACAGCCAGTGGCACACAATATGTCCACAGGCAGGAAGTAAATAGTGATCCCTAAGCTCCGTCTGTCTCTTTGCTACTGATAAAGACTTCCCAGAGGTCCGTCCTCCCATGGACACTCACTCATCCCATGACCCAGAGCATGACTGTCTCAGGCAGGAAGTGCCCTTGGTGAGAAAGCTGAGTCTGACTCCCCTGGATCACACCCCCAGTGAGCCCGACATCCCTTTGTTCAGATGTCACCCAGTGACTTGGGGACAGAGCTGGGAGCAGAAGCCAAGTCCCCACCTACTTCTTCAGGACTCTGGCAGCTTTTCAAGGAGCAGCCTTAGCATCGTCACACGTTCCCCAACATGTGTGAGGTTCTCAGTGACACACACTTATAGGAACTCCACTGGAAATGGGCTTCCATTTGGAAACGGTAAAGTTACCACAACATACTACCATCTGCCTAGACCTGGAGAAGCCCACACACATCTTTGACAACAGAGATCAACAAAACTAGCTTTTCAGTTAAGTTTATGTAAGATTAGTAAAATTTCTGACTGCATCTAATTTGGATGTCAATTGTACCAATCAACATACTACTTTCATGAATGTAGCCAACCATTTTGATCCGAACAGGCAATTCCCTGTTCATGTATGAATATCTTTGAATCAGAAGCAATAGTTAATGGCAGGTTAACTAAGCTCAATTAATTAATATGTAAAACATACATGCATATTTACATACATACACACAGACACGCATGAATAGGCAAACATATATATGCATGCATATACACACACTCATACATATACATACAACTCTACAAACATATGTGTGCATATTTGAACATACACACTGTCTTAGGCTGGGTTCTCTAGAAAAGCAAAACCAGTGAAGCATATAAATATAGAGAGAGGGAGATTTATATCAAGGAAACGGCTCATGCGATTGTAGAGGCTGGAACATCCCAAGTCCGTGGATCAGGATAGAGGCGTCTCTTGATTCACGTAGCCGCAGGGGCTGGAGAACCAAAGACTGGCAGATCGGAGAGCAGGGCTCTTGCTCACAGGCTGCAAAAATCAATGAATCCTAAGATCAGCAGATAAGCTGACAGCTTAAGTCCCAAGAACCGGAGTTCAGACAAATAAGGGCAGCTGCAGGATCCAGAGAGCAAAAACGCCGAAACATCTGCTTATATTCGGATGCAGGTCACACCCCCAAGGAAACTCCCCTTCAATTGACTGGCTACTTACAGCAGATTCCATCATGGGAGTGATCAAATATAAACACTGAGAATCATGGCCCAGCCAAGTTGACACACAATCTTAACCATCACAGGCCACCCCTTGTCAACCTGGCACATGTATACATCGCCTTAAACTATACATAATCTCTGAATTAAGGCACTTATAAAGTCATACTTGTGCCTAACATGATACAACTAACACGTGTACAACCAAAAACACATTAGCCCCATTTAAAGCTTATATTTTGTAAGTGAAGAAAACAAAAATATTTGATGCACACACACAAAGCAGAAATACTCATAACAATTACAGTCCTCATTTCTGCAACTGGTCACGTGGCCGTAACTGGTATTTAGAACTACCTTCTTCCACCACCCATTCTGTATTTCCTTTGCCCTCAGCAAGCACCTCAGCTGGTCTTGGTTCTTTGCCTGGTGGGGTGATCCAAACCTTCATTCCTGAAGGGTCTGGGTCATTAGTAGTCAGGTCAGAACTGGGTTGCTGTAGCTTTCCACTGACTTTAATCATAGGGAGTGGTAGTACTAAGAGACGCCTTAAGGGATCTCCTGCATTCCAGACATACTCTTTTTTACCTCCATTATGTAATATCAATCCGATTTCCTCTTGGTAATCAGGATCAGTCACACCAGCCAGTATGGTAACTCCCTTCTTTGCCTGTTGATCCAGAGGCCCAAGGAGCCCAAAGTGGCCAGGTGGCACTCTTAGCTTCCAGTTCAATGGACTCAGTAATGTGTCTCCAGGTGGGAGTGTTCCTCCTTTTGGAACTAAGACCTCTAGACCTGCAGAGCATAAGCTCGTGGGGACAGGAAGCAAAAATCTTGCGAGTGGGTCACTAGGGGTAATAGTGAGGGTGCTACTCCCATTTCCACCCCTTGATTCCTGGACCCATAAATCCTGGCTATGGAAGAAATAGCACCATATATTGGATGCTGGTTTAGAGCATATACAGCCTCCTGGAGAACATTGCCCCAACCCTGCAAGGTATTGCCACCTAGCCAGCACTGTAATTGTGTCTTTAGGTCATTCCATCATTCTATCAAGCCAGCTGCTTCAGGATGATGGGGAACATGGTAAGACCAGTGAATTCCATGAGCATGGGCCCATGGCTGCACTTCATATGCTGTGAAGAGAATCCCTTGATCTGAAGCAATGCTGTGTGGGATACTATGATGGTCCACAGATGGTAGCTTTGGCAGAAACATTGCGTGCAGGGAAGGCAAATCCTTATCCAGAGTAAGTGTCTATTCCAGTAAGGACAAAAGGCTGCGCTTTACATGATGGAAGTGGTTCAATGTAATCAACTTGCCACCAGGTTGCTGGCTGATCACCTCAAGGAATGGCGCCATATAGGGGACTCAGGGTTGGTCTCTGTTGCTGGCAGATTGGGCACTCAGCAGTGGCTGTAGCCAAGTCAGCCTTGGTGAGTAGAAGTCCATGTTGCTGGGCCCATGCATAACCTCCATCCCTGCCACCATGGCCACTATTCATGAGCCCATTGAGCAATGACGGGAGTAGCTGGGGAAAGAGGATGACTGGTTCCCACAGAACGTGTCATCCTATCCACTTGATTGTTAAAATCCTCCTCTTCTGAGGTCACCCTTTGGTGAGCATTCACATGAGTCACGAATATCTTCACTTCTTTGGCCCATTCAGAGAGGTCTGTCCACATACCTCTTCCCCATAAATCCTTGTCTCCAACTTTCCAATCATGTTGCTTCCATGTCCCTGACCATCCAGGGAAACCATTGGCCACAGCCCATCAATCAGTATACAATCGCACATCTGGCCATTTCTCCTTCCAAGCCAAGTGAACAACCAGGTACACTGCCTGAAGTTCTGCCCATTGAGCGGATTTCCCTTCCCCACTGTCCTTCAGGGGGTCCCAGAAAGGGGCTGGAGTGCTGCTGCTGTCCACTTCCGAGTGGTGCCTGCATATCACGCAGAGCCATCTGTGAACCAGGCATGAGTTTTCTCTTCCTCAGTCAACTGATCAGAAGGAACTCCCCATGAGGCTATAGGTGCAGACTGGGAGATGGAAGGTAGTGTGGAGACCATGGGCTTTGGGCCACTTCCTCATGCAACTTACTTGTGCCTTCAGGTCCTGCTCGGGCCCAATATCATATATACCGCTTCCATTTAATGATGGAGTGCTGCTGTGCACATCCAACTTTATGACTCTGTAGGTCAGACAACACCC